CGCAAAATGTCACATCCTCTCTCAAAGTCCTCCAAAGCAAACGCCCCTGCAGTTGCTTCCCCCAAACGTTACCAGACCACCCCTACGAATCTCGTTCTGGCCTCTAACAGAAGTTCCTTCCAAGTTTCTGCTCCGTCTACACTCTATACTAACCGCCACAGCATGTTTGTGCGTGTAAGGGCACCAACATGCTGCAGACACTACCAAATGTCAAGTCGGCTATCAGTCGCCTAGAGTACGCACACGCAAGCAAATCCATACCGACATCTCCTGAGTCCTGACTCCTAGTTCACGAACTCAGTCCCCATCACATCACAAATTCAGTTCACGAATTCATTCACCATCACATCACGTAAACACCAGAGTCACGAAGTCCTTCACCACTGCATCACGGGTGCGTCAGAGTTCACGAGGTCACTCCCCGTCACATCGCGGCTCCTTCCGAGTTCATGAAGTCACTCCCCTTCGCATCACGACTCGTTCCGCGTTCACGAAGTCACATCCACTTCACATCACGGCTTCTTCCGAGTTCACGGAGTCACGCCTGTTCACATCACGACTCCTTCCGCGTTCACGAAGTCACATCCCCTTCACATCACGGGTTCTTTCGCGTTCACGGAGTCACGCCCATTCACATCACGACTCCTTCCGCATTCACGAAGTCACATCCCCTTCACATCACGACTTGGTCCGAGTTCACGAAGTCATTCACAGCCCTTCACCATGACGCGGTGAGCGTGAGTGAGTGTGAGTGAGCGAGTTCGTGAGTGACTTCGCCGAGGTATGGTGAATAACCTCTGAACCGTCGGAGACCGCTTTTTAACCTCGTTCGCGTGCTCTCTCAGGCGGTCGTTTAAGCAGCGCCCCGTTTGGCCGATGTATCGGGCACCACAGGACATAGGTATTGAGTAAACACACTCTTTGCGGCAAGGAACGTAACAGGTTTTGTGGTTCTTTTGGCAAGGGGGCGCCGGTCCGGGGCTGTTGACTTTTTTGCAAATAGATGCCAATTTAAACTTACACGAGAAAACCACGTTGGTGTTGAAGCCCTGAGCTATTGATTTCAGTCGATGCGAAATGTTATGAATGTAGGGGATGCACGCGAAGCGGGACCTTGGAGGCGGCTTTTTGGATTGGGGCCCTGTGACACGTCTTTTGATGGTAAGCTCGATCAAGTCGTTTGGGTAACCTGCCTTGAGAAGGCGGCCTATCTGATTGGACAGACTAGTTGCGGAAAGGTGGTGACACGACTTGGATTTGGCAACAGCAATAAGGTTTCGGACAATACCAGTTTTTACGTTTTTTGAGTGCGAGCTGCTGAACGGCAGGACAGGCTTCGCAGACCTCTGCTGATTGGACCAGCAGATCCCGACACTGGTGGGGACCAATCTCAGATCAAGGAACTGTAATCCCTCAGATGAAGGGGTCTCTTTTGTGAACGTGAGCCCGAAGGAGTTCTTCTGGAAAACGCTTTCAATCGCTGCGGTATCTGAATAAGTGGAATGAATGATAAGATAATCATCTACGTAGCGATAAACCAAGGCTTCGGGAAATTCCTGCTCAAGGATTGATTGAACCTTTGTGTCAACGTGAAACATATAGCTTTCGCTTAGGATGGGCGCTAGGCACGACCCTATGCACACACCCTATGCACACACCCTATGCACACACCCTATGCACACACCCGCTTCGCGTGCATCCCATACATTCATAACATTTCGCATCGACTGAAATCAATAGCTCAGGGCTTCAACACCAACGTGGTTTTCTCGTGTAAGTTTAAACTGGCATCTATTTGCAAAAAAGTCAACAGCCCCGGACCGGCGCCCCCTTGCCAAAAGAACCACAAAACCTGTTACGTTCCTTGCCGCAAAGAGTGTGTTTACTCAATACCTATGTCCTGTGGTGCCCGATACATCGGCCAAACGGGGCGCTGCTTAAACGACCGCCTGAGAGAGCACGCGAACGAGGTTAAAAAAGCGGTCTCCGACGGTTCAGAGGTTATTCACCACCCGATCGCCAAACACGCATCGGAATGTACTTCCTGCTCGGCCGTCCTTCCCTCTACAACAAGAATCGGGGGTCACCCCTCGAGGTATGGTCGGGAGATTCTGGAGGCCTTCGCCATGTGTCGATCCAAGGACAACATCGGCTCCCCCTCCATTGCCCTTTCGGGGAAAGAGATAAGATTTCTCAGTTCGGAGCTATCTCCCCCGACGTTCCCGACAGCGACGACGCACCCTTGACGGCATAGTGCTCCTCCTTTCCACACCCTTTTCTTCCCCCCCCCCTTTTTTCCTGTATATAAGCAAACTCTTGGTGTTATTAAATGTTGTTGCCAGTTGGAAGTTTGTGTTTGTCCGTCCTTTCTCGTTTTCTTCCTCAAGTTTACTATCCATACCAACCCGCTCGTTCCGTCCCTTAGTTTTCGGTCATTGGCCACGCCATTATGTTAGCCATTCTACTAAGCTCTTAGTGAAGATAATAAAAGATTTTGTTAAGCCAATTGGTTATGTTTACTTAGAATGCGATATAAAAGAACTGCACTGATTTCCTTTTCAGAGAAGTCTAGTACCATCAGGTACTGGCATATGTATTCACTCACAGAAAAAAGGGTGTACTATTGCACCCGTTGTCCCATATAATACACCCAAAAATTTCAATTCGACCGTACAGCGCCCTGTAATCGAACAAGCGGCCCCAAATTTTACGAGGCGCTTGATAGCCGTGTGGTACAACTTATTCAGATAGGTAATGTAAGTATTATTGACTACAAAAAAGATTATCGAAGTTTTCTTCGCCCTACTGCAAAAACTCCATGTTTTCTTTCTTTTGACTTTGATACCTACTTTAAAAATTTAATGAGTTATCTCGCACCGTTATCAAGCCCCTCGTAAAATTTGGGGCCGTCTGTTCAACTATGAGGCGCTGTACGTCGAAATGAAGTTTTGGGGTGTATTATATGGGACAAAAGGGTGTAAGGTGATACCCTTTTTTTTTAGAGTGTTGGCATTGCGTGCAATTACGCAATATTTTAGAAAGTAATGTCGTTACGTCCAAATTACTTTTTTGGTGCAATCATACTTGAGGGACGCTTACTGGTGATCGTTTCTCCGCAATTAAATTATGTTTCATTTCCAGCTGCTATTCGTATTTGTGCAGTATTACGTGGTTTTTGTTTTGCCAAGTTATTGTGTACTAAGATATTTTCTTCTTACCCTTTTTCAATCTGAATGCACCTACCGCAACTCAAGGTGTGATTACATATGATCTAATTTGAATAGTTGAACTTTTTCTCCTAAAGTTGCTTGAAATTGTGAAAAGAATGCCGTAGACGCTAATTCCAGCAGAAGGTAAACTCTACCTGCCATGCTCTATTTATTTTTAAATTGACTGCATGGCCTGCAAGTAGTACATGTGGCCTCAGTCCACTAAAAAGCGCAAGGAAACTTGATTTCTGATTTTGGCATCATCTTAATTTGCCGTTCTATTAAGAGTTTTTCCTAATTTAGGAATAATTATTAGCATGCTGCAAAAAGTAAAATCCGGATATTGAAAAAAAATATTCAGCTTGGGTAGTTGAAAAACAGAACTTCATAAGCTTTCCTTTTTGTTTAAATTCGTAGAATATGGTTCAATAAGAAAAAGAAGGAAAGAAGATTTTGTTGCCGCAGTTTTATTTTATTTAGTAAAATTTAAAAAAGATAACATTTGTTCAATTAAGTTTATATTTAACGTATAGTAATATATAAATTATGTATCGGGGAAATTATGTAAAAATTATTTGCCATAAAACAGTCGAATTACACCAATTAAATTACCGTAATTGAATTCCTACACCAGTGTAATCGGATTTTCCTGTCCGAACTGGGTAGCTCTGCAATTCCATCTTCTATTCTCGTAATACATTTGCTATAACTGAAGTAATTTAATCGCTTCACTTTGGGGAGACTCCATGACCGAAGTTACGGAAAAAACTGTGCACTTTAAAAAAGCAATACAAAAAGACTTGTCAGTAATTACGCATTCCTTATTGCCTTTGTGTTCATTCCACATGTCATTACCTATTTTTGTTTAACTTCGTGTACAGTGAACTATACTAATCACATCGGTTTACTTCTAAAATATTTGCCATAAATAAACAAATAATTAAATAAGTCAGTCAAAAAACTGTATAGGAAAAACGTCAGTACAGAAATAAATAAATAATAAATAAGTAAATATGTCACCACACTAATAATGAAATAAAAAAACTATAACTTTTCTGCCTGAGAGTTTTGTCAAAAATAGACATTGGTATTTAGATTGGAAAGGTTTTGTCTATTAGTTTTTAAGTGAATATCCTACTCCCAATCTTTTATCGTTTGTTTAAATTGAGGTGATCGCCTCGGTCGCGCTTGCTCATCTCGCTCGACATCGTCGTCAATCTCAGCCGCATAGGTTCTTACCAACGTCTCAATGAACTACCACCTGCATGGTGTTTCTGAGCTCAACTCGGACGTACACATATTCGTATGAAAACTCCAATAAACGGGGTGTATTGAATATTTCACGAATGTTTATTTAGGTAGTGCATTTATGACAATAAAATTTTATGAGTGTAAGTAGAGCAATGCTAAAAACTGCCTGCTTTACGCCGCTACCCACCACCAGTACAATACATGCTAGAATCACGTTTCATTTTTATTTTTTATTCTAGCCTTCACGCTGCATCTAAAGCAAAACGTGTGGGCCGAAAAGGACATCATTGAGCAGAACCGGCACTTTGCTAAGGCTCAGAGTAGGATTTGGCCAATGAGATGCCGGGAAAGAGCGATAAGAGAACCTAGATGGGCCCGTTGTACTATGACCAAGCGCTGAGTGAGGGGTCGATGTTCGTCTCAATTTAATCAGCCGATTCTGACCTTCATACGAGAAACATCATAGCGCTACTGCATTTTGGTCTTTAATTTGGAGTCAGGCACCGTAGGAACATGGACCCATTTTTTATCAACATTTACCTTTGCGTACTTGCTCCAGCGCGGCATTCCGGCCAACTTCTTACGAAATCTCATCTGCGGGGTGCTGGCGCTGAAAGTAAAGAGTGCCTCTCCTCCCGGCTTCATCAGCTTGGCGATGTTCTTGAGCGCCTGCTCCTGGTCCTTCAGCCAGTTGAGGAGGTGGAGCGCGTAGACGCGGTCGAAGAGGCCGTACCGCCCCACGAATTCTGACAGGTCGTCAGACACAATGTCGAGGGTGTCGTAGACGATCTTGGGGTGGGAGAAACGCTCCCTCGCATATTTCAGCATGTCCTCGGACGAGTCGACGGCGACGAGTCTTCGGCAAGGTGGGCACTGGGGCAGGAGCACGTCGCGCGTGATGTTCCCGGGGCCGCAACCAAGGTCCAGGAACTGCTGGTCCTCGGTCGGGCCGCTTGGGAACGACCCTTGGACGGAGCGCAGCACATCGGCAGATGTGGAAAACCATTTCGCCGCAGTTACGTTAACGTACAGCTCTGGCGTCAGCGTGTATTCGGTGGGTTCGGTGTTTGCCATCGCGACAGACTCAGGGCAGGAATGACGAGAGATCCTTATTCGGTGCGTTACGGCCGGAGAGCCTGAAAAGAACAGAACGCTGGATGGGATCACGGACTGTAACTCCGCAAAAAGGATGTCGTGCAACGTCAGAACATATGCTTGTGTCCAGAATGCTTGGCATCCGCAGGTGTGCAAGCGGATTCGGGTTACACGTTCAACATCCTCCGATTATCCATATGCGTTTTTAGTTGGTTTCGTTTGAAATGAGACACGTGTCGGGGTAGCTATATTAATTTACCAAGTTAATATGCCAAGTTCTGTCGGTTGTTAAGAATAAAGTAAAGCGGAAACTCTCAGTATTTCTTCTTGCTGATGCATGCTGCGCCGCACTATTACTGTTTTCATTATTCAACTTTTGCTTTTTACTTTTGATACCAGAAATAAAAAAAGAAAAGAAACGTCAAACATCCGATACTTTGGGCATTCTAGTGGCATATTCAAAGCCTCGTTCCTTAGTAGGTATCCGTAAAGTTTGCCTCCTATACCAGGTGTATCTGCAAAAACTTCTGAACGTAAAAAAGGAGTTTGGAAGATAAAAATAAACTATCTCTTTTCGTGAACAAACTGCCAGTTACGGCGGACAAAATATATTGCAAGAAAATATTTAAAAAAATTTGCTAAAATATAATATTAGTCTTTTAAATATTAGAAATGAACATATAGTTCCAATTAGGAACCTTCTGAGCGTAATGGAAAACCCCTAAATTATTCAATTATTTCTGAGTTGGACCACATGGAAAGCTAAAGGGTGCGCTAAAGTTACCACTTGTGAAGGAGGCCCCAGGCCGCCGATGCGAAAAAGCTAATACATAAGTTTTGTGTGAGTGCAGGATACACAGGGGTATATCAGGGTCCGATAATGTATCTCATCTTTTGTTGTGACAATTGTGAATTCATACAGGGATCAATATTTCTTTTATTTATTTGTATACATTAAATATAAATATTTGAGGTGTTGACGACTGAAACATATGCAGCCCGCTTCTCCATTATAATAATCTCTTCTTGAAATTTATCTTAAAATAATGAACATACAAATGACCTTAATACATTTATCACAATGTGAAAAAAAACGAATGTTGGGTTAACAAATTAATTGGGAGGAAATCTTGATAATCACTCACCTGGTTGCGCAAGAAGATGAGGCGCTGTATAACGTCGATGTTCAGTCCTTCATTTCTTTTTCTCAGAAGAACTCACGCTGGGAAGGTTTCTTCTAAGCAACAAGATGTTGCTCGCGCCACGCATTCCGGTGAATAAATCTCGGGAGCTTCTGACAACTCTAATGTGTGATGGCAAAAACATCGCTAACGAAATTCACTAAGAAAATGTTTCTACTAAATAAAGCGCCCGCTTCTGGCGTCACAAAATGAAATAGCCTTAAAACATGGGGTCTCATAACTACACAAAATCTGCGAATTATCAGATAAATGGTATTAATTAACTCCCACCAAGCATCGGTTTACCGAAAAAAGCGCAACATCGTGTTTCGTTTGCGTGAATTTAGCTTCCTCTGGGTCATAGTTTTAAGAAATTTCTGAAAAAATATTGCGACAGAAATTTCGCGTTTTTATGAGTAAGCCCAGCTGATCAGGGTAGAATAACATTATGCATTTTTGCGGTGCATTTATAGGTGTATGGGTATAAAAACGCCGGAACATTCTATCTTCCATTGCGCCGCAGATGCTATAAATAGGTTCCGTGTATTCGGTATGCGCCAAGTATATACGAAAAGAAATTATTGGATTGGTCTAATCAAAATAAAAAAAAATCTCGAATTGAATGTATTTTTGAATACTGTGGCCCAGATTGACCTCCCAAAACATCGCGCATTTTGCCTACTATGAGTTAATTTTCGCTCCCAAGTTCGTACAAGGAAGAGTTTCACTTTCTATGCCTAATAGCGTCCTTTGTTTGGACAAGTTTGCTACGAAGGAATACTCGAACCAAGCCTCCAGCAGAAGGTTGGTCTACCAAAAGTGGTTGTCTAAGAAGATGAGAAGTATTTTATCCCGGGACTCTAATGAAAGGGAGAATAAAAGAAGCCCGTTTTCAACCCAAAAAGAAATTGCCAGGTTTTGAAAATCTTAAATATTCAGAAAAGTAACGGTTACCTTTTAAAGTAATGGTAAACTACTTTTTTCTAATTAAATACTTTTTAACCAAGAGTAACTGTGATTGTAATCGATGGCTTTCTTTAATATTATGTAAAAGGCTGGTAATAATAATTAAGGCAAGTGGCGGATCTTCAGTGCTTTGAAAACGCTTTCCACCAGTTCCGGAGCGCGTTTTTTTTTCTTCTTCAAAATCTCGCATCCTTTTGAGGAAAACTCACGTAATATCTGAAGTAGCTTCGTTCATGTCATCCCAAGTAACTTTGATGAGTTATTAATATTTTGTTTAGTACGGGCCTTTTTCAGTAGTGTTCTTAAGGGTTTCCTGACTTCGGTGAAAAAGTTGTGGAAGTTGCCCTCTAACATTTCTGAAGTAAAGAATAGAAACCCGTTTTCACCTGCGTGTCCTAGTTGTTGCGTAAAAAAAAATAGATAAATATTGGCATTTCTGGTACCCCTAAACTCACTCCCAGTCTTCAGGGTCACACCTGGTCGCACTCCAAGTGACGTAATTCGGGTGCCGTGTAGCTTCCCATGTGCTCTCTCGGAGGGCGCTTCCTCTCTCTGCTGAGATTAGCGGGCGTTATGCTGCAGCTTAGAGCCGAGCGAGGTCACGTAATCTTCTCGCCGTAGTTCCTTCGGCTGCCACTTGCGGCTGCAGGTGGGGGAAAAGCTCGACTTTTGCTTTGCGTCTATGCAGCGGAATCACAAAATTTTTTTTAATGAAGAAGAGGATTTCTCTACCCTCCGGGACACGGTAAACAACGTAAAAATGACGAGATTCAAATCATTTAAAAATAAAATCGTTGCACCTTTAATATTTCGTGTCAGGCGTCCGTTTTGAGAAGAACAATTTGTCGCTCTTTGTGGTAAGTTATCTCTATGAAATCTTCAACACATCCAGCTTAATTCAAGTTGCGTAAACCTGCGGTCATGCAAAACGGCGCGATGCTTGAGCACTCTCCACTGGGCACTAGTCTTAAAGCATTCAAAAAAGGATCAGTGAATTTATGGGCTGACTTGAATTGTTATTGTTTTGGGCTGCACTTGTTTTCCCCTTTAAACTGCTTCGCTACCGTAAAGCAAGCATTTCTGGGTAATTTTTTTTTTCTGGGAACCATATATTTTTTTCCTCCCCGTAGTTCCCTTTAAATTGCAAATAAGGGAAAAATCAAGGTGGCATTCACGCCGTTTTTTAGCAACTTTTGTTTGCATTGCTTAGTACAATGCAAGAGTTTTTCTTTTTTTATTTCCTGCACAAGTTTCTATTGACCGTATCTTGTACTCTACGTCAAATAATTAACAAAACACATTCTATGGTTTCTTTATTATTTTACTGTCGTTATAAACATCATGTACAAAGTTTCCTTCTGCAAAATTCACCTGACCCTTTCGGAATACGCGAATGGTCAATCTATGACAATTGCTCAAATCTCGAAGTTTATCACTATTCCTTGTATAGTAAAAAAAAAGCATGAGAACTATAAATTGCATACCAATGCTGTTTCCAGTGTCGTTACATTGAAGAATTAGCCCAGCAGTTTTATATTGAAGTTTTGAAACACCCCTTTTTAGGCGATTTGAGGTATGATTGCCCATATATCTATTTCAGGCAAATCGAAATGCCCACCTCAACCCAAGTTTTTCATCTCAAATGAATCTACCCTTCTGTTTTTATCATTCACGTACCCACAAGTCAAGCCAAGATACAAGCTTCCACTGACGGGCGGTGTGACACTGGACGACCTGTGTTTGTTTATTTTAATTGTTGCACAATTGCCAAGCGAGTTGGACAAAAGGCGAATAAAATCACCTGACAAGGTCCCAACCCCGGTGACATCACTCAACAAGCGAGCGTACAATATTAAGATTAAAACTAAAATAAAACCATCAAGCACAAAAAAATAATTTTTTTCTCTCACAAAGGAAATTAATTTAGAACTCAACTTATTGGGTTATGCACTCAAAACATTCAAGTGATTCCTGAGTTATTTTTTTTTAATAAAACATGAAAGGTATTTTCTGGGCCAACTTATAGGCTCGATGGTGTTTGCTTAGAATGTCCGCTATCTAATAGGATAGTTTTGGGTACCGTAATTAGTTCTAACCTTAGGCTTTATAAACTTCTTAGGGCCTAAATGTCAATTTATTTACTTAGCTAAATATGTGTCGTTATAGCTGATGGGATTAGCGTTAATTTGAGTATGAATTAAAAAAGGTATATGCCTACACAAAGTAGGTTACCTATTGTTAGTATTTTAAGTTAATACTAGGAGTGGTCGGATCGTACCCTGGTCGAATATCAATCAACAGAACTGCGCGTTTTCGCAATGTATGTATGCGTTAAACATTATTTCTTGTTGTTGTTGCCCACATTATGCATAATAATGCAGCCTCGAGTGAATTAGAGATGTATATAATTTTAACCGATTTGTGAGAGGCTATCTTAATTTAAGAATTAGACCAATTGATCGAGAAACCTCTCTTCGGAGATCATTCACTTCAGCAGTTTAATATGAATTGTGGTGGAAAATGACACCAAAAGGTTTAAGGTTCTACGCGTTCCATATTGCAGTTTTGAAAGATATGTTAATTGTGCTAGTAATATGTTTATTATTTGCCCTAAAAGTATATATGTTGTACTGGAGGAATCTAGTTCTAATAAGTGAAGTGAGTCTAGCCAAGTATGTGGCTCTCTCTATGTGCACGCAAGTGATTTCCGGTTCAAAAAAAAAACAACACATTGTTATCTTTTGGATATGAAGTTTTACTGCCTGATCTCTATTGTGTTTTCTAATCTCGTTTTAGTTTTTCTTCTGGCATAATTGGTATAAATTACAGCTG